TTTTGAATGTATATTTCTTTTGTTTAGAGAGCTTTAACTTTACAAGAAGCCTTGAAACTATTTCTTTTTCTTTTCCTGGTGGCAGTGTTTACTTCTTTTTGCTGTGAAGTTGGGTCCCGTATATGGTTGTTTTCAATTTTTAGTTTTTTTCAATCGGATTATGGCATAGAAAAGATTGAAGATTTTTTTTCTCTTTTATGGGTTTTTGTTTTTGCTTTTTCCTTTTCACATTTTTGATAGTAGATTTACCTACTGTCTCCATTTTGCTTTCTTGTTTTACTCTTGGCTTTTTTTCCCACAGAATCTTCTTCCCTTTTTCCTCGGCCTTTTTGTTTTATTTTTCTTTTACCTTTTTNAGGTCCCTTCCAACTCTGCTATTGTATTGTATTGTATTGTATTGTATTGTATTGTATTGTATTGTATTGTATTGTATTGTATTGTATTGTATTGTGTGGTTGGGAAGCTGAGCCAGAGGTTAGTAAGCCTGTGTTTGAGACCCAAGTTGTTGGAGCAGAGTTGAGTTCTCGACCTTCACTCCAGCTCTGCGATGTGAAAGGAGCCCCCAACTGGGCGTCTCTAGGGCAATGATGATGTCACTAGCTAATCCTTTCAACCAGTGGTGGGATTCAATTTTTTTTACTACCAGTTCTGTGGGCATGGCTTGGTGGGCATGGCAGGGAAAGGATACTGTAAAATCTCCATTCCCTCCTCACTGCAGGGGAAGGTTACTGCAAACAACCCACTCCTTCCCAATCACTGGGACTTGGGAGGCAGAGAATAGATGGGACAGAGCCAGTCAGAGGTGATTTTTACCGGTTCTCTGAACTACTCATAATTTCCGCTACCAGTTCTCCAGAACTGGTCAGAACCTGCTGAATACCACCTCTGTAGCTAATCCTTTCAACCAGGAAATGCCTTGTTGCTTCCCCTGCAAACAGAGGGTGGTGGTGGGGATCTAGATTCAAGCTAATATTGCTAAACCAGAAAATGAAGGGGAGAGAAAAAGCCAGAACTGGAATTCACTGGGACAGAAAAGAGAATGTCTCCTTATCTGGTGAGATGACAGGAGAGTGTCATCTCACCAGATAAGTGTCAGCTGAGGAAAATCTGATGGATCTCTCTTTGGCTTGGGACCTGGAGGATCTTCTTTGATGGACCTTCCCTGCATGTGAACATCGTGGAAAAAGCAAAGAAGCATTAGTAGGCTGGAACATAGAAATAGAGTCTCACAATCATCCAGGGATGGAGAAAATTTGGACTTTCATATTGTCTTGGGAAAAATAAGGATGAGATAATGAGTCCTCCCCAAATTAGGATTGTTGGAAGAAATGTCCATCTGGATTCAGTTCTAAGTGGAGAAAAAGACACTGGAAACATTATGGTTGTTTGGAAAGATGGTTTAATGCTGGATATTCCTTGGAGCTCCTGGGTGTAAAGGGGATCACATGTCTTGAAGATCTTGAAGAAAAAAGGGCAGAGATGCTGAAATCCACTGGGTTTTATGCCCTCTCTGAGCTTCGAACTTCCTGGGGCACAGGAAGAGTATCCTGATTGGTTGCTGTCAGAGGTCATAGCTAGCTTGATAGGTTGTCTATGTGCTAAGTTTGATTGAAACCTGGTGGGTGGTGCAATGAAATGGCTCTGCCTAAAGGGGGAAGATCTTCATTATGTAGAATAGACTGGCTCAGGCCTTAATGGCCCATTGACAAAGGTGGAGGGGGGCTATTAAGAGTGAGTTTGTTTCCTGCCTAAAAACATGTTTCTCTATTTCTCATCCAGGGAAATATAATATTCTGCCTTTTTAATACTTTCCAGGATATTTTATTCTTCTAGGAGAGGGGTGGGT